ACCGGTATATAGAATTCTAATTTATATCATAACATGCACTTTTTTCAGTCATTACTCTATATTTGTGTCCCCTGTATGTAGGGTATCCCTACTGAAGGGTACCGAAGGTGTCCCCTTAATAGGGTTCTACTCTATATCAAAGTACTGTGGTGTCTTGTAACAACAATATAATATTTGATAAGCATACATACATAATTACCTAAAGCAGCTTTTCAATTTAATTTTTTTTTTTTGATTTCCATCGTTTTAATCTGACTGTGTTAATTCTGACATTGGTTGCTAGCACCTTTGTCATGTTTTCATTACATAATGCCTACGGTACTAATTTAGTTAGTAAGCACTTGCGTAAAGAGCCAAGGAAGTGAGCGAGTGGTACAACACTGTGAAGTTTCTAAAACTTTATTGCAACTCCAAAACAAATATTTTTGTTTTGTTTTTTGAAACACAAACACTATTCAACAAACGGCAGTCTGACTGAGATTAGTACACTGCCGGCGCAAATTTAAGACACTAGCCAACATTTTATAAAATGTTTTGTTTTGATGCTTTCATGGTAATCTTCTAATTTTCACAGCATTTGATTTTAACAATTAAGATTTTCTGTATAATTTTTTGGAGACCCAGATGCGATCCGATGACCCTAAAAAGTCACTCACGACCCAAACGGGTCACGACCATGGGTTGCCGACCGGAGCTAGTAAGCTGTTCATGTTTTTGTTTTCAATGTGTTTTAGCAGTTTGAAGTTGGCAAAAAAAAATGTAAAAGCAAACAACAGTTTCTTTGAAATAAATAAATGATTGTCCCATGTTTTCTTTTGGAGACCATCTTCGATCTTAGAGGTTTCAAGTTCGGTTACCCTCCAATAATGTTGCTTGGAGACCACTTCAAGCACATGGTCTCAATTAGAGGTTTCTAATTTGTCTGAAGTCTGAGACCCAAATTTCAGATATACAGAGTGGTCTCGAATTGGAGGGTAGACTGTATTATTGTTTATTAAATTTGTGCTGATTTCATGTTATAATCATTATATTATATTGTTGTAATCATTTTTCTTTTATTTTGTTCCGGTTTTTCCTTTCATTGTTAAGCGCTTAGAGGTTTCTTGCATTTTGCGCTATATAAGAATAAATTTATTATTATTATTATTATAAATGCATTGTATTTGCATTGCAAATTGTTGCTATAAATTAGTTCTAATTCTATTAAAATTATAGAGAATATATGTCATTGTTGTATGAAAACATGCTAAAATCCACTATTAGAAAGGGGACAATTTCGGGTTTTTGTTTAGTGTCCCCTGAAATGGGGTACCCCTCGTAATTTCGTATTACATTATTATTATATTACCTTATGTAAAAGTTGTCGGCATTATGCCAATGCCTGTTTTGTCATGATAGTCACATATTATGCAATGCTGCCCTCTCTTGATAAGCAATTCACGAATATTCGAATACCAGAATACAGATTGATGTTTATTAGGAATCACTTTTGAAGGACCCGAAAAGGACGGAGGAACCGGAATTAAATCAGAAAGTAGAGTTGGGGAACAACGTTGTTAGCAAAAGTGAGACGGAAGTCGGAATTCCTTTTCATCACTATTTTACTCATGACATTCAGTTGCGTTGTTATTTTCAACTAACAATTAAATACGGGTATGTACCTTTGATGAATTATATTATAATTAAATACGGGAGAGTGATGTGATTACATTATAATCCGAGCTGCTGACAGTGCGAGTGGGTCGTACAATGGTCCATGGTCGTACTGTACTTTTGATGGTATAAGGCCTGGTTTCCTGTCGACGTAAAAGGCAGATTTACTTACGATTACGTCGTTTTATCGTAAGAAAATGCGATTTGACAGGAAACCGGTTACGACTGGTGCGTTTTGAAATCGACGTAACGTAAACTAAATTCGTCGCAAAACAGTTTTGGACAGGAAACCGACGTATTGAATTTTCATGTGATACGTCGATTTTCCACTATTTGACAGGAAACCGCGATTTAGTGACTTTTGGTTGGATGAACTCGCATACGTTGCGTTGCAAACGATTCTTATGAAAAGTTGACTCCAAGTCAACTTTTCATAAGAAACGTAAGCGGAAACGTATGCTGTCTGTATATCTTGCCTATACAACACAATTG